TCTGAGATTTTATACTGCCATCAGCGATGTATCACTTGGTATATAACGTCTACTACAACTGTTGGCTTATTTCCTCACGTAGAGTGCAAGTTATTTGAAGATAGGGGGTGTATTTTATTAAGTGTTTATCCCCAGCACCTATGCCTAGCACAACGTGGGCGGTCAATAAATAATTGCTTAATAAGGAAAATCCCTGCCAATACAAGATGTACGTGTGTGAAATACAGACTGTGTGTTTTTCTCTAACTGGATAGATGAAAACTTGTCATTTTCTTTAATGTGCAATTTTTTTTCTTATAATTAGCAATTTAATTTCTCTTTTAGATTATATTGTAAAAATTCAGATTCTCTGAGGCAAATGGGCCTGGCACTACCCATTAGCTATATAATCTTGGACAAGTTCTATAACTCTAGGCCTCAACTTCCTCATCTATAAAATGGAGATAAGCTCCCATATCACAGAGCTCTCGTGAGGATTACATGAGTTAAAACACATATAAAATTAGAAGAGTGCTTGGTACACAGCGTATGTTCAATTAATGCTGAATGAATAACATGTGAATGCAAACAGTAGCGAAGGGCTTAAAATGAAATAGTCTCATCCCACTCCCACATTCGGCACTCATGAAGTGACCAATTCTTTACTCAGGTTTTTAATTGTAAAATACGATAGGCGTACTGAGACGTGCACAGAACAAAACTGTCAATGTGACAAATAAAAAGAGAATACTTACATAACCAGTACTCGAATCTGAAAGTATTGATACTTGTCAGCATCTCAAAAACCCCCCATATCCTTTTCCCATCACAATCTCCTTCCCTCTTCCCAGTTAAAACACCATCCTCATTTCTTGACAATCCTTTCCTTTAACCTGCATGCATCCCTAACAAAAGAGTTCAGTTTTGTCAACATCTAACTTTATGTACAGGATCATAGTATATGAAGTCTTTTCTATCGTATTTCTTTCACTCAACATTGGTTTAAAAAATTCATCCACATTGCAGCCTGTAGCTCTAGTTCGTTCAATTTTATTGCTTGATAGTTTTCCCACTGTACGAATACACATAATTTATTTAATTTTTGACTCTTAATGGACATTTAGTTTGTTTTCAGTTTGTGCTAATGCAAATCATGGACAGGAATCCTGCTGTACCAGTTATTCTGGTGCATTTACACAGGGCGGGGGTGAGGGCTGCTGGGTCACAGGCTATTTATATACCTTCAGTTGATGGAGAGTGCTAAATGCTTTCCAAAGTAGTTGTGTCGATTTATACTCCAGTATAAGCAGGGTAGAAGATTCCCACAGTACTCCAGGTCTACAATACCTGATACTACCACACTTTATTTGTCAAACTGATTGGTATGTAGTTTCATAGGTTTTCACTCACTTTTCTCTTATTACTTAATGAAGTCCTACACTTTTCTGTGTTTACTGGCTGTTTGGATTTCCTTTTTTATGAGGTTTATGTCAACTATTGTTATTTTTTATTATTATTTATTTATTTTTGGCTGAGTTGGGTCTTTGTTGCTGCGTGCAGGCTTTCTCTAGTTGCGGTGAGCGGGGGCTACTCTTCATTGCAGTGGCTTCTCTTGTTGTGGAGCACAGGATCTAGGCGGGTGGGCTTCAGTAGTTGCGGCACGTGGGCTCAGTAGTTGCAGCTCACAGGCTCTAGAGCGCAGGCTCCGTAGTTGTGGTGCACAGGCTTCATTGCTCTGCGGCATGTGGGATCTTCCCGGATCAGGGCTCGAGCACGTGTCCCCTGCCTTGGCAGGCAGATTATTAACAACTGCGACACCAGGGAGGTCCAACTATTGTTATTTTGAATTCTTCTCCAAGTAATACTCTTACATGACCATTTTCTGACTAAACTGGAGGCATTATCTGTTCACTTTCTATTTTACTAAGTAAGGATTTAGTTCCTTTACACTCTTCCTATGTCCACACTGCTCAGTAAAGTTATGTCATCATTAGTTATTCCACTGCTCGTGATCTCTTTGACTTGTAGTG